TCCTTTCGGGGAGATTAAGCTTGAAGATGGCCTAATCAAGGACGGGCTGTGGGATGTGTACAACCAAATTCATATGGGAATTTGCGCGGAGCAGACGGCAAAGAAGTATGAGGTGTCACGGGAAGAGCAGGACGATTATGCCATTCAGTCGTACGAGCGGGCACAGAAGGCGTGGGCGGAGGGATTGTTTAGCGAGGAGATTGCTCCAGTGACGGTGAAGGGCAAGAAGGGGGATACGGTAGTGGAGAGGGACGAGGGCTTTGAGAACCTCAAGGCAGATAAGCTGCGCGGATTGAAGCCTGCGTTCTTGCGTGACGGCACTGGCACCGTCACGGCGGGTAACGCGTCCACGATGAATGATGGCGCATCCGCCGTGGTGGTGGCTAGCCGTGAGTTGGCGAGGGAGTTTGGCACGGGCAATCGTGCTCTGGCAAGGATTGTTTCTACTTCTGATGCCGCTATTGACCCTGTCGATTTCCCTGTGGCCCCGGCCAAGGCGGTGCCTATTGCGCTGGAGCGCGCGGGCATCAGCAAGGACCAGGTGGCGGTTTGGGAGTTCAACGAGGCATTTGCGGCGGTGATCAAGGCCAACGAGAAGGTGAGTCCTACGCCTTTGACATTCATTGAATATGGCTAACCAGACAGATTCTGGGACTGCAAAACGCGCGAGTCAACCCGCTGGGTGGAGCCATCTCGCTGGGTCATGCGCTGGGCAGCTCGGGCTCGCGCATCCTGGTGACGCTGCTACACCAGCTACAGCCAGGCGAGTACGGCGTGGCAGCCATCTGTAATGGCGGCGGAGCAGCTAGCGCGATGGTCGTGCAGAAGCTCGACCGGGTGGATTAAACATCCATGTACATATGAAGAATTTGATGCCAACATGTTCATACTAGCTAGCGGTCAATTTAGCCTCAGCCTCCCAAAAATCAAGCCAAGCCAAAGGCCAACCCTAATAATGCCCCTGCACTGTCAACGTCCCCGTCTTGGTAACCAAATACTCATCCACAGCCACATCCTTCCCACTCTCCTTTCCATATCCACTCTCCTTCATGCCCCCAAACGGCGCCTCCGCAGCCGACATACTCCCCGTATTCAAGCCCACCATACCGGCCTCCAGCTTCTCAAACAGCCTCCACAATCGATCCGCATCTTTCGTAAACGCATAACTCGCCAGCCCCATACTAGTATCATTTGCCCACTGCACGGCCTCATCCTCCGTATCAAACGCATACAACGCAGCCACCGGCGCAAACGTCTCTTCCCGACTAACCAACATCTCCTTCGTCATGCCCGTCAGAATCGTCGGCTGGAAGAAATACCCCTTCTTCCCCTCGACCCTCCCCCCACCCAAAATAACCTCAGCGCCCAACCTCCTCGCATCTTCAATCTGCAACTCCGCCTTCCCCACCCCCCTCTCCGTCGTCAACGGCCCCATGCCCACCCCATCCTCCATCCCATGCCCGACAACCAACTTCTCCGTCCTCTCCCTCAACAACCCCGCAAACCTCTCATAAACCCCCCGTTGCACATACACCCGATTTGCCGTGATACACGCCTGACCGGCATGCCTCCACTTCAGATTCATCAACGCCGCGACAGCGGCCTCCAAATCCGCATCCTCAAACACAATAAACGGACAATTCCCTCCCAACTCCAACGTCACCTTCTTCAACCCATCCGCACAAATCCCCGCAATCAACTTCCCCACCCTCGTCGACCCCGTAAACGTCACCTTCTTCACCAACTCATGTCGACACAACGCCTCACTTAACGAAGGCGTATTCTCCATATCCGTCGTCAACACATTCACCACCCCGGCCGGGAACCCCGCCTGCATCGCTAACCCCGCAATAGCCAACGCAGACACAGGACTCTCCGGAGACGGCTTCACAATCATCGTACACCCCGCCGCTATCGCCGCCGCGACTTTCCTCAGCACCATCGCCACCGGGAAGTTCCACGGTACTAGCGCGGCCGCTACGCCGATGGGCTGCTTGATCGTCATAACGCGACGGCCCGGAACGGCGGAGGAGCTGATCGTGCCGGAGACTCGCTCGGCTTCGCCGGAGAACCATCGTGTGAAGGAGGTCGCGTAGTCGATCTCGCCGAGCGCTTCGGCGAGCGGTTTGCCTGTCTCGTAGGTGATGATTTTGGCTAGGTCGGTTTTGTGGGCTCGGATGAGGGTGTCCCAGGCTGTGAGGAGCTCGGAGCGGTAGCGCGCGGTGGTGTGGCGGAAGGTGAGGAATGCTGTGTGCGCCGAGGTTACGGCGTCGGGGACGTCGAGGGTTGTGCAGGTGGGGATTTGGGCCCAGGGGTGGGAGGTGCCGGGGTCTGTGGTTGGAGATCTGGTTAGGATGGGGGTGGGGGGGATGATGGCATACCGATGACTTCAAAGTGCTGGTTGCTTTGGGATTTGATCCAGGTGTTGTTGACGAAGGCATCGAAGTGGAGGATGGAGGGGTCGGAGAGCTAGATGCGTGAGTTAAGAGGAATGGGAGATTAGGGTTGGAATGAGACATACTTGGAATGGAAGCTCGTATAGGGCCATTGTAGCTTGGTTCGTTTACTATCTGATGGATAATGTAGAGAGTAGAGGTTGAGGGATGAGATACCAGGAAAGAATCACAATATAAGGGATATGGATGAGAAGAGGGGAAGATAAGCTGACCCCGCACCTCGGATATCGGCAAGTATCCTACAAACTACTGTTAGAATACGATTGACCCAAATACCATGTATCAACTTTGTCATTCGCTGATCATCTATATACATAACAGCTCTGTACATCAGCTGCTTCTAGTGCAGGTACTCATTCACCACTTGCGTAAATGCCGTCGCATTCTCCAACATCGGCAGATGACCCGCCTTCGGCACCAACTTCAACTCGGACTTGCTCTTCAGGTCTGCCACCATCTGCTGCATCGTCTTGGGCAGCACACCGTCACTCTCGCCGGCCACAAACAGGCCTGGTACCTGTGCCTGTGCCATCCGGTCCCGCACATCATACGCACACAGGGCCTGCACGCTCTGTCTGAAGCCGGGCAGACTGTTCGTCCGCACCAATTCCTTCGCCTTAGCGGGGAGATGGGGTTGTGTCTCGTACGATTCAGCTGTGAACCAGCGCCGCACGGTGATTTCGGCCAGCTTCTCGCCGACAATCGCCTGTTGCGTGGTGGGCGACACGGCGCCCTCGCTGGCTGCCAGCTCGACACGCTCGTTCCAGGCCTTACGGTTCGTCTCGGGGCTGGAGCTGTTGGTGTCGCAGGAGATGAAGCGCTCCACGCGCTCCGGGTACAGCAGAGAGGTGTTCAACACGGTCACACCACCCAGACTGACACCGATAAGGGTGGCCTTGGGAACGCGCAGAGCATCCAGCAGCGCGATGATATCCGAGGCCAGTAGATCGATGTTGACGGGCTTCTCGCCGCATTCTTGCTGCCGGCCACGGGTGCAGTACCGGACAATGCGGAAGTTTTGGTTGCGAGGGTCGGAGAGGAACTGGTCGACAAAGTCGTCCCAGATGGTGTAGTCCACCAGGATGGAGTTGCTGAGCACGATGACCGGGCTGTGGGGGTCGGTGCTACCCTCCAGGCGGTAAGGGAGCTCGACGCCGTCGGGGGTGGTGACGAAGGACTCGACGGCCGGGCGGGTGGGAGAGGGCAAGGTGCGGGTTTTGCCGTCAATGGACGACCAGGGACCGATGACATCCGGGGAGGTTAGGGAGGACAGCTCGCGGGGAGCGGGTCCGAAGGTGTAGGCCCACTGGTAGGTGCGACGGCGGGCTTTAGCCACGACGTCGGTCATGATGCGGGTGCGCCAGGGAGTGTCGGTGGCGGCCTTGTATTCGGGACCGCCCAGACCATTCTGGGCAGCGTACTCGTGCACGGCGAGGTATTCGCGCGGGGCTTTGGGGTCGATGGTGGAGGTGACGAAGAGGCGGGAGGAGCGCCAGCCGGGCACGCGGGACAGCATGGGGATGTGCTCTTCGCGGTACCAGCGGGTGAACTCGTCCTCCTTAGCGGCGTCGGCGGAGGAGAGGGAGAGAGAGACGGCGACGAGGGCAGAGCCGGCAGCCTCGGTGTCGGGGGTGAGTTCGAGGGGTTTGTAATCAGCCGCCTTTTGCTCGAGAACGGTATCGTAGAGCCGGCGATCGACGTCAATCTGGGCCATGGTCGCCTTTTCCCGGGGGGTCTTGATGGTGTCGCCGCGGAGGGCGAGGTAGGTCTCGCGCGTCAACTCAACCATATCAGTAATGTCGTAGAGTGCCACCCACTCGGGCTCCTCGCCGTCGGTTGCGCGATAGCGGAAGCCATTGGTGCAGAAGGGCAGACGCAGGCGCAGAGGACCGTGTTCGGTATTATACCAGTCGTGGAATTGGGCCGCAGGGAGGGAGGGACGAGGGTTCATCGTCACCCAGAGAAGGCCGGGGGTCGTCATTTTGAATATGATGTTAAGCAGGGACAGCTGACACCAAGAGAAGTAGAGAGAGTAACTGCAACGAAATCAATGATGAGGGGCAGATGGCGGGGTGACCGGCGATAATAATCATTATAATGAGAATCCGACTGACTGCCGACCACACAGCCGATGGCGGCCGATGGTTGAAGTCATCGGCTATATCTTTAAGTTCCAGTCTTCATCTCCCAGGTACTGGTGGCGGGGAGCCCACTGGGGGAAGCCTCTGGGGTTTACGGGGTAGTTTGAATCCCAAGATGTCATGGTAGATAGACAGATGGGAGATCCTCCAAACACACTTGACTGGCGAGAGGAAGTTGTATAGAAGGAAGAAGGGCTCTTTGTATGAAATGCCTGGGAAATGTAATAATTCTGCAGCCTGGGAATTCAGGCATGCATTTCGGTAGCCACAAACTGCCGAGTCACCTGATGCTATCCTCCGATAATGAGTCACGTGTGGCCCTCCAAATTCTGACCTGGGCGGTGAGATGACTGGCAGAATGGCAGAACGGGCGGAGTTAGTCACTTTCACGCCGAGATGCAACCCGACGATTAGATCATCTAAGAACATCCAACTCAACTACAACTACTCGATCAGCTTGCCTGTTCTCACGGCTTCAGACTACATCTCTTCTCCTACCCTATTCCCCACTGTCCGGCTCACGCTTCTCGTAGCTGAGACCCATGGCGCCTCAGAAATCGGTGGCAGAGGTGCCCCGTTCCCTGATTCCCCGTCTGACTTGGAACGGCTCCTCGACTCGCACTACTTTTACCTCTCCCCAGACTACCGCCCTACCAGCGAAGCGCCAACAAAAGCAGTATATTGTACGGAATCGGATTTCTGCTGGACGACAACTGCATACCTCGACTTCCCCGTCCACTGCCTCTTCAGCATTTCCCGCAGCAGCCCGAGATCTAGGCACATCGATCGCAAGACGCTTCCCTTCCACAACCAAGCCGGCCGGCCAACCAGCCGCACCCCTTGGGAACCCCATCCGGCATAATGGTGTCTATGTCGCTGCATTCAACCCGGCTCGGAGAGCTTTTCATGCGTCCGCTCCGCGCCAGCGCGACCATCACTTTGATACATTGAAATTCGTCCAACGATTGAAAGATGAGGGGTTTAGCGAAGAGCAGGCTGTTGCTATGATGCGGGTCTTGAACGACGTCATTCAGGAGTCCATCCAGAACTTGACTCGGACAATGGTGCTTCGGGAAGGTTAGTCACTCCTGTGGTTTATGCATGCTATACCCAAGAGCATTTCCATTCTAAGTCCATTTCTACAGACACGGAACGATCAGCCTACACACAAAAAGTCGACTTTGCCAAGCTCCGCTCCGAGCTCCTCAACGCAGATTCTACCGAAGCGCAATTGACTCGCTCGTCGCACGAAAAGATCGCCGCAGATCTCGCCAAACTCAACTCTCGTCTACGCGACGAGATCGGTCGCACGCAGGCATCAGTGCGACTGGATCTAAATCTGGAGAAGGGTCGTATCCGAGAAGAAGCCAATGGCCAAGAAATGCGTATAAAGGAGACGGAAACGAGAATTGAGCAGGAGGTGGCTGGGTTGAGAGAGCGTGTAGAGGCTGTCAAATTCTCCACGCTACAATGGCTCATGTAAGTGGTATCCGATCTTCCTCACAATACAATGCTGACAGATCTTCTCCAGGGGTGTATGCACTGGTACCGCTGCTCTGATTCTTGGTGCCTGGCGTCTCTTCATGTGAACCTATCATTCTGTGGGCTTTCGGTCCAGTCGGCCGGATTAAGATGCCTTGTCTGTTGCCTTCATATTAACTCCCCACTATTACTCCTTACCGCCAAAGAATGTGGCGGGATTAGGAACTGGTGGCTATTTTTCTCTTCTCTTTTGTTTAATTAGCGATGTGGTGGCTTCCGTAATCATTCTATATATATACTATTGCTTTATTTGTTATCTTCCGAGGTGTAGTAGATATATTGTGGGATGGGACTCCTATCCTGCCTGTGACCGGCGGCCGTGATGCCGGCATGGAACGAGGCGAGCTGTGAAGTGATATGATGCAATTCCGTGACATGTATTATGTTACCACCACTAATTGGCTCATTCTGCATTTGATCGGCTGCTCGCCTAAAGACTGCTGCAGAAGAAAGGTGGGGGTATTACGAACCATGCGATTTCAGTGATAAGGGAAATGAAGGGGGCGGAGAATAGAGCGATGCAGTGTCATACAAGCCATGTAATACTCAGAGGACCGACGGGGACCGCCGGCGTCAAAAAGAGGGGGAAAACACCCTCATTTACAATCCGGCAGTGATTGGCCCGGCATGCTCTTCGTTCCTGTCATTGTCAGGTTCTTCTCGCTCCACTCCTCGGTAGTACTACTAGTCAACTCCTCGCGTCTGCGCCGCTCCAATGGCATCCATATCTTTCTGCAGCTTATCACCGGCTCACAACAAGAACAAGGGGTAATTGCGTCCTAGCTCCCCTGCCAGATAGCCAACGATCATGCTTTGTTCAAACTAGCACGTCTTCTTCAAGTGTGACTGACGATATATCACCGTATAGCACTATGCTTGGAACTGCCATGGTTTGATCCAACACAGTCGGGCTTAGTTGTACACTGTCAACAAGAAGCACGCTAAAGAAATCTCCGCATGCAGAGCACGTCAAAACACAGCTAGTTACTAATGGATCATGCACCATGGCCTCATACAAATACCCTTCCCGACCCCCTGGGGCGTCAACAATGGCGTTGTACTGCACTCATTCACAGGCATCAGTACCATATTTGGCTGAGCCCTACTAGCACTTGGTGCATCTCTCTTGCGCATTGGGGCTTTCTCAGGGGCTTGCAGTACATACTCGTGTCGCCCACGTGAGGTTTTCACATAGTCGTACCACCAGAGAGACATCCTTCTAGAAACGCACCGATCAGAGTAGATCCCATCCTGCAGGAAAGCCGCGATCATGCTGGTCTCTTTCGGTGTCGCAGTCTACCTAGTATCTCTACTGTTTTCTCCAGCGCGGGCTCTTCTAGAGGTCTTCGAGGTATACCAGCCCGTCCCCACAGGTCATGGCAGCGTTGGGTGCAATGAGGAAGTCCTCCTGATGGACCATGTCTTCGGTTATAGCTATGGGGAACCATACGTCGGTAGGATAGAAACAGTACCTGTTCCAATCAGTTGTTCAAAGCTAAGTAAATGAACCAGGGATCTACGAACCACCAAATTGTACCTTTGACACCGTTCGCATCAACTTCACTGTCACCTCCAAGGGCAGACAGTATGATCGTCTGGCGCTCATGTACTTAGGGGACACAGAGGTGTTCCGAACATCAACTGCTGAACCAACGACCGACGGCATCATCTGGACCTATATCAAAGACATGTCTCAGTTCAACGTACTGTGGAAAGAAAAACAGAAATTGATCTTCGATCTTGGCAACATCATTACTGATGTCTACACCGGCTCTTTCAACACCACCCTAACAGCCTACTTCTCATACGAGAGCAACGTCAGGACCCCAGACGTTATCCTCCCAATATCTGCTCGCAAATCCGCCCAGAACGCATCAAGTGACTTCGAACTTCCATCTGACAACGCCACGGTGCAATATCAGATCCCCCAGACAGCATCCCGTGCAGTCGTGTCCATTTCTGCCTGTGGCCAATCCGAGGAAGAATTCTGGTGGTCCAACGTCCTCTCTGCCGATGAGTATACCTTCGACAATACCATTGGCGAGCTATACGGGTACTCCCCATTCCGCGAAGTCCAGCTCTATATCGACGGCGTCCTTGCCGGCGTGGACTGGCCATTCCCCATCATCTTCACCGGCGGTGTCGCGCCAGGATTCTGGCGTCCTATCGTAGGAATCGACGCCTTCGACCTACGCCAACCCGAGATCGATATCACGCCCTTCCTCCCCTTGCTCAAGGACAACAAGTCCCACTCGTTCGAGATCAGAGTTACAGGCCTGAGCGTTGCCGACGACGGAACAGTAACATTCGCCAATACAGTCAACTCCTACTGGGTAGTCACCGGGACTATCTTCCTCTACTTGGATTCCTCCTCCTCCTCTGAATCACACAGCACAACCACCGGCCAAGCGCCCGAAATCTACGCCCCGGCGCCCACCCTCACCGTTACACGGGATCTCACCCAGAGCCCGAACGGGACCAACGAAACACTATCATACTCCGTCACAGCCGAACGAACATTCACCGTAAAGTCCTCCGAATACTCATGGAGCCAAAACCTCTCCTACTCAAACTACGGATACCTAAACCAACAAGGACTCAGCCAGAAAAACAACCAACAGACCTCCGGCACTAACACCATCACCCAGCTTACCGGGAACAACAAATCTACAAATGAGGTCACCTTCCAGTACCCTCTAATCTGTAACACAACGTACGGCCTCGAAGATGGCCTTTCCATTAGTGCCTGGATCCGCAGAGGCCTGGATATCAGTTCCACCGGTGGTGATGGGGAGCTCGGCGTCTCGACCTATACGTTTACCTCGGGGCCATTGGATCTGCATACGGAACAATATGGAACAGCGTATTACTTCGAACCGGAGGATGATGAGAGTTCCGTCTCGTATGGTGAAACGGTTGATGTCTGGGGAAGTAATGCTGGGGGAGTTGAGTATTCGAGGAATGTTCGTGCGGTGAATGGGACGGTTGTTTCGGATACTGAGAGCTAGAATCATTCATTCGCATCATGTGTATGAGATTTAAGTATGATTAGGAAGAGTGAAGTTGGGGATATATTTAGTATCTACTTATAACTGGGGATTAGTTTGTTTTGCAATCCGAGAAAATACTTACATTTCTATACTAGTACTTATATAAGTAGTAATTTACATTGAACACGAATGTAACAACCCCTGACTAGTAAGTATACACTACTCACGCTGCATTATGAAACAGAATCCCACACCACCCATTAATATGAATGTATACATCTACTTCTGAGAACTCGACTCTCCGCGGGACTGTAATCTCTCTTTTCTGGCTAGTTAGGCTCCATGATGAATGAGGTAGGCTTATTTACCGGGCTCTGATTGGGGCCACGGCACGGGGCTGGAAGCGAGGATATCGGCTAAAAAGCCCCAGCTGAATAACTAAAAGTAAACACAGCAAGCAATGCTCGGATCGGCAAAGATCCCCCTCCCCACCCGGATTACCGGCTTAGGTGACCGGTGTGAAGAAGAAGGTTTGAACCGGCTTGCCGGCTATCGAAGGTTGAATAGGTAGTATCTAGTCTAGGTAAACCGAAATTGGTACTAGTAATCAGATTCGGTACTAAAAAGTCCGCCGGAATGGTGCAGTGGTCATTTCTTGTAGTGAAAAGACTTATGAATGCTACAATATCTATAGGCCATTATATATCAGAGTATTGATTGAATATTTTGGATTGAATTCCTTTAGAGACAAAATCAACTCCAACCATGCCGGTTCATAATCAGTTCAGGCTGAACGAAGCTAGAAACCAAAATGTGAAACCAAAAATGTGAAAGGGACTATGTACAAAAGTTCACCCTTATATCAAGGGGGAAATAATTTTTTTTACATGACAAAAAAATGTTGTGCTTTGCGAGGTGGTCATTTACAGACGGCTGTGCTGGGAGTCCTGGCCTAGAGGCTTCGTCGAAAACGAGCCGAAGAAGGCATTGAGGGCGTCCACGGTGCCGCTGCCCTCGGACAGCTGCACGGTACAGGCGACGTGGCTGTCCGGGCGAGTGACAACAACACCACCCTTCTCCACGTCGAAGCCCAGCTTCTCGTGAGCGGCGTAGGTGGCCTGGGGGACGCGCACGTCGGGGATGTTGTCGGCGTAGAGGTGGTGGTGGTAGTCGCGGAGGATCTTGGGAATGGACTCCACGTCGATCTGGTTCTTCTCGCCAGCGTAGACCAGGCAGATGGAGAACAGCTTGGAGTGAGGCAGGTGGTTTTCGAAGAACGACACGTCGGCAATGTCGGAGCGGCGGTACACGGAAAGGAACGAGCGTTCCTTCTCGAGGTTGGCAGCGAGATCGGTGATCGCCTTGCTGGTCTTGTCCTGCTTACCGGCGAAGATGAAGATCCGGAACGCACCGTTGGCGGGAATCTCCTGTTCCAGGTGCACGTGGTTGGAGTCTGCCAACCGGGTGACGGTGGTGGGTGTGAACGCGCGACCAGGGGTCAGGCGGACACCGGGGACGTCGAACAGCGGGGATTGAGCAGGGTGGGTAGCGTCCCAGGTGAACACATTCGGCTTGTAGGCAACACCGTAGCCACTGGTGAATTCACAAGAGGACTTGAAGGTCTTGACGAATTCGTCTTCCTCTCCGCCAGCCGCAGCAGTAGTGTGGCTGGCCTCGCCGACCTCGCCGGCGGTAGGGCGACGCTTGGAGAACAAGGCGGCGTATTTGTTGTCGAAGCTCAGCAGAGTCTCGGCGATATCCTTGCGTTCAGTCTCGTAGGTGCTGAGGATGGAGCGCTTAGCCAAACCAGACTCAACGGCGTGGAGCTTCCAGGCCATGTTCAGAGCATCGTGGAAAGCAGTGTTCATTCCCTGACCAGCCTTGGGCTACAGCGTTTGTTAGCAATGCATACTTAGCTCGCAGGGTATCTTGAAGACAGGAACACTTACACTGTGAGTGTGGCAAGCATCACCACCCATGAACACACGCTCATCGAGAGTGTACTTCTCGGAGATACCCTGACCGATCGGGTAGACGGAGTACCACTCGACGCGATCCCATTCCACCCAGTACGGCTGAAGAATCTTCCGAGCGGTGGCCTGAACATCCTCGGCGGTTGCTGTCTTTCTAGGGTCGAAGTCGGGGTCGTCCGACGAA